TTTTACTCAATAATAAGATCAGTTTTAAAAATCAAAACCATTTTCATTTTTTTGTGTAAAAAAAAACACTTCATAAAGTTGATCTGTGTAATAGCAATTTGCCAAAATCAATAAACTTCTAGCAAAACCGCCGATTGCATTCCCTTCCAAAGATTTCTCAAAAAACAAGATGAAGGTGCTTCTGTTGATGTCAAAAGTCGAAATTCCTCTCCTCTTCCTCACCTCTTCCTACTCCTGCCCCACAATTCGCTCGCTATGAAAGGTGAAGGCATTCAGAAATATTCTGTCTATAGCAAGAACTTGCAGCCTAATCACCAGATGGCAAGGCTATTGGTGGCTGCCCTTACTGATTACCCCTTGGAATACTTTTCCAGCTGTCGAGAGATTCAGAGTAAAAGCCTAGTTCTAAGTCAAAGGAAAACTGCAAAGTCGAATTTGGGATTTCAAGAAAAACCGTAAAAATCGAAAGCGGGAAAAGTTCATGAAGCACCCACATGCGCACATCCGAAGCTGTCTCATTGATTTCCCTTTCGGCAGCATCAAGAGCTGGTAAATGTTCGCCGAAATTTGCAATCGATTCGGATTTGAAGACAATCTGCAAGAAAAGAGAATCGTGAAAAGAGCGCGGAGGATGAGGATTGTCCAGACACGCAACTAATCCATGGTCATGGTCAAAATCGGCGGTGATTTCTCGAATCACTTCAAATACGCAATCGGATTTTCTCGTGAAACAATGGTACACGCGCATCGTTCTCAATGGAATAAGTGAGTGAAGAAAGAAGATAAAAAGAAATAAAACTCGTTCAGGAAAGTTGGCAAGATTTCGTAATCTTCACAGCTGAAAGCTCAGCGAAAGTCCGAAATATTATTGCAAGTACTGCTAGGCAAATAAAGTAATCGCTAGAGATGTAACTATGCAAAAAAGGCCAACATTTTGAACAGAGCTAAGCAAATTGGTGGCAACAACTGAAGGGCAAATTTGATGCTGAAGCAGCTACAAGTTGATGAAAATGATTAAAGTAAAAAAGTAATATATTACTTTATAGGAGAAAATTTCGAAACAAAAAAATTGAAACAATTTATGCACATATTTGGATGTGCATGAGTAAATAAATCATTGGCGGCGCGCAGCAGGCTGCCTTGTGCGATCATGCGTTTTTGCAATATTTCGTGCTGTGGCAAAATTACTTGGAGTCCCAGTAGCTAAAATTTGTGGCATATTGATCTTCGAAGTCCTGAAAGTTAATTATGCAACTGCGTGGTACTTAGCGAGGAAACATTCCGTAGAAAATTTCAATTTTTTAGTTTTTTTTAAATGGTTCCGAGTTGGAAATTTTCGCGCTAAAAATTAATTTTGATGTCGGGGCAGTTTCTTACTACTAATTTATTCATAGTTCCGATACATTTTCCTCCAACGTCTTGTAATGACACATTTTGATTACGCACCTAAAAAGTAATAATTTTCGATTTTACAAACAGAAAGGTTTACCTCTTTGTCCTTCTCAAACTGTTCCAGTAGTTCGGCACGCTTCATCATTAAAGCATAATTAAATTCAATGCAATTTCTCTTCTCAGCTTGCGTTAAATAATCATCCTGCAAATATCTGCTAATCATCACAAGTATTAAAATTCTTACACATATTTCATTGAAGTGTTGATCAGTAAGGACATCCTCATCAAGGTCTAGGAGTGGCAACATTTGGGATGAGATGGTGATGTTCATCATACATTTTTTACATTTACATATATTTTTTACATTTATATTTTTTGTATTTTTATACATTTTTTGCATATATGCAAATGCAAAAACGCATACTGGCAAGAGGCTGTCTGTGTGTTCGCACTTTTTGTCACCCACTTTCAACCTGAGAACCAGAAAAGCTAGAAGGCTGAAACTTCGGGAGTATGTATCCTATTTTAATACCGACACCCGTTTTAACAGCATCACGCGCTGGGTCCAAATACGTCAGAGCTCACTGCACATTTACATACACTGTAAAACTGAGGCAATGGGAAGTCGCTTGAGGGTAGCAAGTGCTAACAGCAATCATTTGTCGGCAAAACTGTCAATGACTCCCCCTTTTGCGGGTTGCTTAGAAGCAAGCTGATGGCGAATTCAACTCCATGGCATATGCCAGTAACGAATGAATATCAATCGTAGAGGGATTAGTGCCGAATTTTTTCGAAAAATAAAAATTTCCATGCAAAAAAATGCAACAATTAAAATGGATAAGATGCAAAAGGAGAACTGACTCGAAGTGCTAAATCGTTAAGTTTTCGCAAAATATCGATTGGAATTTTTAGCAAAAACCCAGCGCCTGCTTGTGTCAATTTTCGCCGCACAGCAATCAATTCTTCGTTAACATTTTTAATCTCTTTTGCCTGTGCTATGCCCAGGCGTTTTTCCAGCTCCAACACGCGTTCCTTCAACGCATTTTCCATCATTATGTCTGAAAATGAAGAGAAAAAAATGTGCATTTTTGAGGAAAATTGAATGATCAAAGCGCATAAATTCGTAAAAAGCCAGCAAAAACTGAAAAAAGTGTGCTGTATTATAGTAATATTTTCATACAGCACAGATTGGTAGATGTGTGGGTGAAAAACAATTATAAATGGTTCGCCAATTACAATTACCACAATCGTCGTACTGACAGGGTCCAGTTGTGGTAATGGTAAGAAATGTGTACGACTTAGTGGATCGAAATATTTTTTAACATTACAATAATTTTGTTAAAGTAATTTTACTAATTTTACTAATTCCTTAATATCATTTTTTATTCTTCTTCCTACTTCAAAATACTTTTCTGTTGCAAATGAGAAAGAAAAAAAAGGTGTCAATATAATCAAAAAATTTCGATTCGCCCAAAAATGCAATTCCTGGGGGAAAAAATCCAGAAATACTACATGCAATAACAAAAAATGTGTTAACTGCATGCATCTTGATGCATTGTTTTATATCTAATTACAGCAAGGAAAAATCGGAAAATCAAATTTTCCTAAAAAAATCAAATTTGAAAATCAAATTTTTACGAATCTTTTCTATATTACTTGAATACTTGAGCAACTGTATTTCATCGACGCAAACCAGGTGCAAAACAAAAAGTACCATAGATGAAACATATGGGTTTTGACCAATCAAAAAACCTTCGCTTGAAATTTTCAAATATTTTACTACAGCCAATAACACATCAATACAATGAAGTACATCAAAATATACCCGATCAATGAAACAATAAAACCAGTTAAATAATTTGGTCCTGCATCTAAGTCCATCTCCTGTTATTGACTCCCTTTTTATATTCCCTAAAATCTTACATCCAATCAGCCGTTTTTTCCAAGCTCTTTGCCTTACTTCCTCCTGTTCAAGTTTCCTAACCAAGTGTAATTTGAAGAATTAGCCACATGCTTGCCTTATAAATAGCGGGCGGGAGGCTTCCCACTCCCATTCGCACTCGGTTCACTGTCAGTGTTTACAGCTAAGGGATGAAACACTTACTGCGCCGGGGGCCGCACCTCAATACATGCAGTACCCTGGTTCATGAACTTTGCTTTCTTAATGAATATCTTTCGTGATTTTTCCATAAAAGTTAAAATACCCGTTCAAGGAAGAAAGCTGAAATTCCTCTGTCTTGAAAAATTATGAAATCTCCTTTATATGGGACGAAGACACAAGGAAATACCCTGAGTAAAAGCATATGATAAAGGGAAACTTCTAATGGCAGCCTTAAAGGCGAATTTGAAATCCCTGATAACTACCGCTATTATAAATACAATTAATATTATTGTTATTATTATTATCATTGTTATTATTATCATTATTATTATTGCTACTATCATTACTATCATCATCATCATTAAAAAGATGTGCAGCTATGCTGGCCATCGACCCGCTTCAATTGATCGCGGACTGAGTACAAAATAAGCATACTGGAAATATCCTAATACAGTACAATCGTCAATATTTACAACTGAAAGAAAGCAAATGGCACACGAGGTGCTGATACGACTGAAAGTCAGTATCAAAAATCATGATTTCGCCAAACTGCGACAACAGAAACCACGATTTCTTTGTACTTTTGAAATCGTTCGATTGCTTCCTCTGTTGCAACGACGACCGCTACCTTAAATTGAAAAGTTTGAATAAGGTAGCGATGCCCCAGTAAACATCATTTCGTCACTTCGAAACGGCTAAGGCTCTCGAAGAAGTCCCGCGAAAAAGGCTGGCAATTTGCCAAATATGATAGTTCTAAATATGTGTTTGTATAAATATAAATCAAATAATTGCTCCAGTTGATGCGGTGAAACACAAGGGTCAGTGGTTGCGTCCGAATGTGAAAAGAAATGGTTCGATTCCCTCTCGGTCAATAACAATTTTCAGAAAGGTCTTCGCTTGCCGAGGGTTTCGGTCGAGATAACCGCCGAGTTGGTGAGAAGGAAGAAGCTGAATTTTCAAGAAGGCGAACCTGGGGAAAAAGGAACAAAGGGCGGAAATTGGCAAAGTGCCAGGACAATGTCGGCGAGTAAGGAAAGGGAATTGCATGTCTGTCGATAAATCACGATAAAATCCATCTTATTTTTCCAAAATCACGAAATCTCATAATATGTATATACCTGGAAAAGTATATAAATAAACCAACAGCGATTGATGCAGCAGCCACTGAATGTGTCAGGAACTTTAAGTAGTGGGCAAAGATACCGAATTTTGCCCAGAAATCCTCGTACCTCTCATAAAGATCCGAATGCCTGAAACATTTGATCAAGTCTGAAAAGTTCATTCGTTCTTGTGATAAAATAGTATTTGCTCATGCCAGAGTCAAAATTGCCATCAGCTTGCTTCTAAGCAATTCCAAGAGAGGAAAACCATCGATAGCTGTGGTTCAAGCTAATGCTAAATGCTTTTAAACCTCACGGTAAGTAAAACAGGAAGGAAACTGCCATTCGGATGATAAGTAACGATCATCAGAGGGCCAAACCATAAGTGGACGGTCCAAATGGAGCAGTCGAAGTGGGTTAAATTGATAAATAATTTGCGGTCTTTGGTAGGCCGAACCGTAATTTCTCTGGTAAAATGCCAGTCGGAACCGTGGAAAATATGGAACGGCCATAATCCAGGAATTTTAATGTAGATTGTGGAAACAGTGAATAGATTGTGGAGGGAAAGACAATAGGGCTACTAATGTAGTACAAATCGTATGACATGTTGAAAAGTCACGCAAAACTTACGTATTTGGAAACCTATGCATGTGATTTGGTCATATTCGAGCCACTTTCGGGTGCAAACCACACACACACACACACACACACACACACACACACACACTCACACACATACACACATACATACACACACAAACACACACACATACACACACAATGAAATATGGAGGTAATCTACTTTACGATTTATATTAACCTA